TCAGTGGTACATTTCCTCAGAGGAAAAACCTTGCCTCATGGAGTAACAGAGTAATAAGCATGAAAATAATCAAGAACCCTCTGACAAAAGAACAACAGCAGCATAAGCTCAAATAAAGAAAAGACAACATGGAGAATCTTTTCCAACATTTTAGGTGACTGGAGAAGCCTTTTTCAGGAGGCATTCCTTGCACTGATGTTAGAGAGTTTTACACAGGCTTCTTATTGTTTCTCGTGCCATTCCCGCTGGGATTAAATACATATTCCTGAAAAAGCAACAGCTCCCCTTTACTAAACACTGCCCTGAATAGTCAGCATTTTAATGGTAAAAGCAAAGAGCTCTGTTATTACAAAATACAGAGAAAACCCTACTCCCTTGCTATAAGTGCTAAGTGCATGAGCTAAGAGATAGATTCTGCTCTCAATTACCTTGGGGTAAATTCAGAGTAATTCCAATGGAATTAGCAAAATTTCCCTGGATTTGCACCGAGGTAGTCTGCATCCATATCATACCCAGCATGAATGAGAGGGAGGCTGTTTCTTTCTCAGAAGTATGCCTTAGGCCCCACAGAAACATCCAGGAGAAACGATAAATTATAATAACATCACAGAGTTAATCCTGGGGGAGGGGGAGAAAGAACCAGTGAATAGAACCTAAATGAGCTGCTTTAGAATCTGTTCTCCCTTTGCATTTAAAACAAAGAAGGGGCCAATGTTGTGTCTGATGTTACTGTTTTGTTTTTTGGAACACTGATTAGATTTCAGGATAAAATTAGTGCCCTTTTAAGGATTTGAAGTCATCTCTAACGTGCTTGCCTTGCAAGTACACTATAAATTCCATTGCTCAGTTAGCCATTGAAATGACTCTTTATGTGTCAATGAATCAACATTGCTGTAAGTTCCTTGGAAAAGTTGAAACTCCACAGCAATCTGAATTTAGCCAAATGACACAGCTGGATTACTTTTAACAACTAGTTAACCGCTAGCTGTGCATTTTCATCTCTCCTGTATATGAAATTAGACTGAGTTCTGATGGATCTGACAGCTTATACTTTCCTGTTATTTCCGGTATTTAAATTGTCAACCTTTATGGTGCATTAATACAGGATTGTGCATTTAATCAAAGTGTACCACAGTAATGATCTCTAACCTTAGTGCTACCTCAGTGCTTAAGGGGCTATATAGCATACAATTGTGTTTTTTTTAATAAAAGAAGTTTCAAGAAAAAAAGTATGTCAGAAGAACTGGAAATAATTTGGTCAAGAGTCACTGGTATAAAAAATGGGGGGGATGGTATTTCAGAGAAGAAAAGTGAACACGCAAGATCTTCCAGAATAAAGCTGAAAAGTTCCTAGAATAAAAAAGAACACATGTTCAAACAATTACAGTCTTACAGGATTACCACGGAAATGAATTTGTCTAGGCACAATATATACTCAGGCATCCTTTACTGTAAGAACAAGAACATGATTAATAGTTATCTCACTGCTACAAATGACAATGGCTTGACTTAGGCAAGTAGAACTAGGCAAGACTAATACAGTCCATAGGCTGGTAAAGTGACAGGGGAAGTTGCCCTATACACATAGTGGGAGAAGCAGGAGGGTGGCAGGGATATAGGTGCTCTCAGGGGTTCAGCAACTGCAGCCTTACCGAATTCATACTCACCTGCCTGAAGCACCAGCAGCACCAGCAGCCAGAACCCCATTGGGAAATAAAAGGGTTGTCAGCACCTAGTATGCCTCTCTCTTTCTCACACTTTCTTGTACACTCAACCTGTGTGGCTGGGGTCTCCTTGCAGAGCTGGTCTCAGCTGGATACCAGGTAAACCAAAGCGTGGGTGTGTATAACACTCCTCCTAGGTTTCTGCTCCCATATCTCTTCCAAAGTTTTATATGCACACACATATACACAGCACGCAAGACAGTCTCCTCTGAAATCTCAAGTGCCCTGTGTGCTGAGCCTGCTGCACAGTCCTTTCCCCCTTTTTCTGCCAGGCAGGGCTCTGTGCCTCTATTTGCATATCATTCCTTTAGGGAGGGGCTGCTAGAGTGGAATTAGACTGACACAGTCTCTTAGACAAGTCTCTAAGCTTGTGCTCTGTTCCTAAGCTGTTTGCCTACAAACCCCAGTTAACCTCCTAGCTGCTTTGCAGGAGAAGTTGGAGTCCTGGATTTTGTGATCTGGACTTTCGAATTTTGATAGCTGTGATGTGGCATGGGAAAGCACGGGGACTTTTTCTTACAGATCATTCCTTTTTATTTAATACTGAATATTTTTATGTAGAAAAAATTACGAAACTATTAACTCAAACAGAAATATCATTAGAGTGTCTAAATATAAACCAATTAAATGAGTTTATTCTGGGCTATGCCACAGCAAAATATAAACCCAGCCTGTTTGTTCGAAACTAATCTAACTGGCTAGCTAATTTCTTCAATGCTACCCATATTCACTCTCCATCCACAAGAACAAGCCATAGTCTCTCAGGAAGAAAGCCCTTGGATATAACCTACTCCTTCTGTCTTGGGTCCAAGAAGATAAGATGAGGTAGGTTGAGATTATTTGAGCTGGGAAAGCTAAGCATGATAGTTTTTCGAAGTCTTCTCATAAGAACCCCAAAAAGGGGGTGGGAGGGAGTGTACAGCAATAGCCCACTTCTTATTTTGTCCACCAGTTGATCCTCATACCCATCATTAAGGTCCAGATAAAATCTTGTTCTACAAGAGGGTGTGTAACTGTCCTTGAGGTAAATCAGTAGGCCTTTTTGTTTGGACTCATTCACTCTGTGTCTCTGATTTTCTTGCACCTATTTATAGCATTCTTAACCGAAGACAGCCTACTTTCCACGGTTGATTCTCAAGTGGGCAAAAAGGTAGAGGCCCGACGGTCACAACATTGCCCAAGCAGATACTATGCATCCGTAGCCTGGGTCAGGGGACTTCAGTATCTGAGCATGCTGGCTCAGGTTCTGTTGTCCACTCTTGGTGTTCATAAGGCTCATCCCAAGTGGTCTCACACAGCTAACTAACCTGCATCCCATCTTTGCCTTTTGCAAGGACACTAGGGGCAGAGTAAACATTTGATCACAACCTACTTCAGGTGCTGGAGTGCAGGAACTACTATTCTGGCAGGCGCCCGTGTGGGCTGTAAACATTTGGGGGGGGCAGAAGGTATTGGAGGACTCCTTGTGCCTTCTCTCCCTTGCATGCACCTGCATGGGTTAGCTAGAATCATTCTTAGTTTTCATAAGGCAGGTGGATTTCAGTGGCACCTTAGGGAACATTTCTTACGTAAACCAGTACCACCCTGTTTAATTGTTTCAAAATATTTGCTTGCTCACTATCGTCAAAGCAAAGGTCACTGAGCCATCAGAGTGCTGCCTTGTACTGAGAACAGGCTGCTGAGAAGTGCAGATATTCTTTGCCGTGTAGGCCTGAATGGATCTGTACGCAACAGGTATTTTCATAGCTATGGGGGCAATTAGTACACAGAGTTGGTTAAATTGGATTTTATTACAGGCAGCTGAAATTCAGCATGCTTGGAAGGATGTATGTACATTCTCTCTCTCTCTCTCTCTCTCTCTCACTTTCTTTCTTTTCAAAACAATGGCTATTAGCCAGGATGGTCAGAGACGCAACCTCATGCTCTGGGAGACCCTAGCATCTCCCTAGACCCTAAGGGATGGATTTCTTGATGACTGCCCTGTTCTGTTCATTAATTCAGAAGCACCTGGCATTGGTCACTCCCAGAAGTAATAATACTGGGCTAGATGGACCTTTGGTGTAAATTTTTTATGAAAAGCAGTAACCACTGGGGAACACCATTCCCGAGTACTAATCAGTGGGGTGTGGCCTGTACACAGAACCAAAAACTGTCTGAAAGACAATGCAAAGGGCCAAAACTCCATCTGTCCTCAACTGCAGTCTGTCTATCAGGAGAACCATAATTTCACTCCCAGCAATTCCATCTTTGTGGAGCATTGTTTAAAAAGAATTTTTACTATACATTTGCCAGTTATGAGTAAATTTTTCTTGCTAAAAATCTAACCCAGCAGGTAGTGTGGATTAGAGCTGCTGTGGTTTCTGATAGGTCTGTGCCACTATCGTTTGCCACTATAAACTACAGGCAGAACCAAAAATTGGCTGGAAAACTATGTGAAGGGCCTACAACAAAAGGGGCTGACAGGTGACAGGGCTTTAAGCAATGTGTAGCCTGTCTGAAGATGTTGTTCCTGACTGAACACCACACTTGCTAGCTGTAGTACCTCGCAGAGGCGTTACCTATTAGACCTAACTTAGAATATAAGAATGGTTGCACAACATCAATTCCATCTAGTCCAGAGGTCTGCAACCTATGGCTCTTGAGTCAAATATGGCTCAGTATGGTACCAAATATGGCTTTTCTGTCATTCCCAAGATACATGCAACTTTTTAAATTAAAATGGAAAATTCAAAATTTTAAAATGCGTAATTACTCATATAGCTTGAATGCATGCATGAACCTAAATGTGATCAGTTATCATATAAACTTCAAAGAAATGTGTGAAAAGATGCAGCAGCAGAAATCCTATTACATAAAGTCTATGAGTACAATGTTTCATTCATTCTATTATATCATCTTGTTAATTATCGATAATATTAAGTTGTTTTCAATCATGCAATTGAGCATTCTTATACTGCCTCTTTGTTGACCACTTGTTCTGATTGTTGATGTAGTTTGGCTCTTTCGTTTGAAAAGGTTGCTGACCCCTGGTCTAGCCCAGTAGCCTGTCTTCTGATAGTGGCCTATGCCAGATGCCCCAGAGGGAATGAATAGAACAGGTAACCATCATATGATCTATCCCTTGTCACCCATTCCCAGCTTCTGACTAACACAGAACGTTGAGAAGGACAAAAGAGTGATAATCACAGGTGCAGTTGACCCCATGTTGAGCAGTCAGTATAGATTGGGACAGTGCATTCAGCCCAATTTTAGTCTCTGTGGTTTAAGGTATGGTTCATGTAGGCCTTATCTACATTAGTGCACTCAGTCAATGGTGCTTCATTTGGATGCACTGCATTGTGCCAAGTGAAACATTACTGATTACAGGTCATATGCTCTGAATCAATCTTGAGGATTTAGATAGCTGACACTAGCAGATATAGCTCTAGGGCTCCAAAGGGGTTAAAATGAAAATGTGATTGACTCTGACAGCATCTCAGTGTGATTTCATGGCTTCTTTCACCAAACAGATTTTCATCCTGCATTCATACTCAAGCATTCCTACTCCATAACACACAGTCAACCTATGGAACTCTTTTCCAGAGGCTATTTTATGAAGGACAAGACTATTGCAGTGTTCAGAAAAGAACTAGATGAATTCACGGAAGATAGGTCCATCAATGACCAAACTAGATGAATTCATGGAAGATAGGTCCATCAATGACCAAATGGGAAGCTCTGTTTTCCAGAAGCTGACAATGGATCACTTGCTGATTACTTGTTCTGTTTGTTCCGTCTGGGGCACGTAGCATTGGCCACTATCAAAAGACGGGATACTGGGCTAGATGGCCCTTTGGTCTGACCCAGTATGCCCGTTCTTACATTATACTCAATAACAAGCAACCTCTGAAGTGTTGATGAGCTGAGATGTTTTTCATTGACTCCTTGATGAAGGTTATTCTCCACAGCACAGGACAATTACATTTGGTTTTGAAGTTCTGAAATATTTTGTCATTTAATAAAACTTTATTTGAACTAATATTTCAGAAGGAAACAGATTTTGCTATTCTTTTTCCACATTTGGTGATATTTATCTAGATGAGTGAACACAAGGCTAGCAACTTGTTTAATGCTCCTACCATATGATAATGTTGCCCCAAAGAAATAGTATTTTCTTCCTTGTAAAATATTTTTGCTAA